ACTCATACAAGTGATTATATCACTCGTCACTCTTAGATGGATTTATGAGGATAATAAATGTTTGGTCAGTGTTATTTCAAGGCATACTTACTGAAAATATTCTTCTTTTCAATATTCCGCTCCTACTGTCGATTCCGAACTAAGGTTTGGAATGAAGAATAACTGTCTGTGTGGTTTAGACACACGCTATTGCCCAGTTGAAACCAAAACAAGGTAATTGAGTAATTGACGATTACAGAATTCATTATATGTATAAATGTATTTTATTAACTAAACAAATATTACCAGACAGTTATTCAATCAATAATTGTTCAATCAGTAGTCAAATCTAAATTACAATAACTAAACAAATTGATAAATTATGTAAGAGATCTGCCAAACGCAATGCTCCAACACCATGAAATGGCGGAACAGATCAATATGCCTGCCACCAAGACTAAGTATCAACTTAAACAACTTGAATATAACTCAATTGGAAACATGGAAACGCAGTGAAGGTGAAAGGAAAACAAAAACTACAATAAAATACAAATATCACCATCTCAAATGGAATCAAAACGGCTAAACGAACGTTCAACTGAACGAATCAATAGAAATAAATTACATATATAAACATGGAATCATTTCTACACAAAAAATCTTCAAAATGTCTCTTACACCTATATTATCGCTTGTTGAAATCGGTAGGTCTAAATACAATACATAGTATTCAGTAGGTTACTAAAGCATCTAGTACACACTTGAATTCAATGATGATGTGAATGTGTTATATCACATTGACTATAACAGCATTTCATAGGACTCAGACCACATAACAACTGAAAACCATGATCGATTGAATTTATTCCACCACAATGATCGATTTCATGATTTTGTGCTCAAATGGTATTACTTTCTTGGTCTCAATAGTTCACTGATTCTCAGTCTCGTTCGGTTATCCTCAAATTTATTGGTCACTCACTCGTACGTTTCTTCCTGCTTATTCATTGATTGATCATTCATTACCTTAAGTAAAGAAAAAGTGAAGGAATTGTCATGCACATTTTACATTCTCATAGATTTTCTCGATTATAAGTTTGAAACGTAATGCACGATCAAAGTAACTTATTGATTTCATTCTTCTAAAATTCATTTATTAACATCCGCCGTAACGAAATGCCGACAAAGGTAGATATAATAAACTAAAAATTGTATTCACAAGAAACATTTTGGAAGAATGGTGTTATTATGATCGCTATCAAAGGTCGAGATCAGTTGAGACTAGTTTAGTTGGATATGAAAATGTTTTATTTCGTAAGATTGATGAGAACAAACACTGAGTGAAGTTATTTGAACTTTGATAAACTGACCATATACTTGCTGATTAATAGATAGATGGATAGATAGATAGATGTGTGGATGGATTGATAATGCTGATGACTGAAATGAGTCCTTCATTCGTCAACGCGTACTCTGTGAAATTTGTGAAAAAATTTCCACTACTAACTGCTCATCTGATGTGTTTGTAACGATATCACATCTATGGTAATGCAGACCATCAATTTACCAAGACAAATTCAACTATGTGTAAATGAAACAATGTGCAATTTTATTTTGACTTACTTGTGTTGTATGAGTGTTGTTAAATGCCAAACTATGTTTTCCACTAAGTTATATTCGATTACGACACGACTATGAGAGAAGATTTTATGGATTTGTGATACACGTGATGAGTAACTAACTTTTACTTTCCACTTGGTTGTAACGTGTGTTTTGTCAGTCACTTGTGAGCGTTCAGGGCTCATTTCAAGCGATGGTTTAATGGAAACTAACTAGCAAACTTTCTGTTTAATTCTCACTTAAAATAATTTTCAGTTTTTGAATACTTATGGTCTCTGGAGGAAATCTAGATGCGTTTGTTTGCTGCTCCGAAGAATAATTCGGAGCACGAACTAAGATTTATAATAAAAATTCAGAGAATATTTGTACAATTGAGGAGACGAACTGTTTTTTACCGGATGATCTAATTAGTGATGGCAATCACATTCAGCAACGCCCTCTATGGTAAAACATCGAACATTGATACCTTCGGTTAGAAGCACTGAACACTTACCATTCTCGCTCTCGACTCACTTACTGAAAGTCATTTCATTAGGACATACGCTAGTTATATGTAGACCGTTTAAACAATAAACATGTTTACTGACTTCCAACTTATATTCGAGGTCAACCAGAAGATTCGCTTTTATTGTTTATGTTTGCCTTGGACCTTTCAACATCTAGACATCTTGGAGAGATTTGATAACATCCTGAATATTTGGTTATGTTATTTTGACCAATTTGTGCGAAGTTATATAAACTCATATTGGCTAGAAATTTTTGAGGATTATTCAACTCGATATGTTTGATCTTAACTATAAAATGAAAAGGGGTTTAAACATTTATGAAATCACATGTGCAATTAAAGGCATTTGAATGATGTACACTCTGTGTATGCCTTTGAAGTGGTACGTGTATTATGTTTTCGATAATAGATAGATAGTTTATCTGAGAAATGTGATGTAATTGCACTATACATTTCGAACAATTTGGTCACACATATACTTGTCAGTGCATTTTTGTATGAAAATTAATGAAGGTCAATTAAATGAAAGTTCAAGTAAAAAAGTAACAAAGGGGAGAGAAAGAATAAGAAATTGTCGCCATAGAATGACTTATGGATTACCAAGGTAAATTCAAAGTTACGACAAATTGTTTTTGTACACATAAGGGGGATTTAAATTTACGAATAGCCAAGGCTTCAATAAACTTAAGAATTCGTCCATGACAATTTCTAAACAACATTCTAAATGCTGTATTAATGTTAATTTTGTGCCCCGTTTCAATTATATATTTCGCTATCGATGAACCAGGTTTTCGACCTACCACATTGATTGGATCATTTGACACACATTGATTTTGAAGCCATTTAGGCACATGTTCATTTACTCTTGATTGCAATGTTCGATAGCGAAACATACAATTGAAACGGGGCACAAAATTAACATTAATACAGCATTTAGAATGTTGTTTAGAAATTGTCATGGACGAATTCTTCAGTTTATTGAAGCCTTGGCTATTCGTAAATTTAAATCCCCCTTATGTGTACAAAAACAATTTGTCGTAACCTTGCATTTACCTTGGTAATCCATAAGTCATTCTATGGCCTAGGATAACGCGACAATTTCGTATTCTTTCTCTCCCCTTTGTTACCTTTTTACTTGAACTTTCATTTAATTGACCTTTATTAATTTTCATACAAAAATGCACTGACAAGTATATGTGTGACCAAATTGTTCGAAATGTATAGTGCAATTACATCACATTTTTCAGATAAATTCCGTCTTCTCATTATTCTATCGAAATTTATAAAAAGGACTAATTGCTTTAAATATAAGAATCGTTATATTGTAATTTCTACTGACGACCCATGTCGGCTGACTCATGGTCTAAAAATTAAGGGTTTACGCACGAGACCGAAGTACCTGTTTTCCACTTTTGAATGCGGGTTGTAGATACACAATGTTGATAAGACCCATATCAGAGAGAACCTGCGGTCTAATGCCACTAGGTTCTCCATGGATGTCTAGCTAAGAATGTTTCGTAATTTAAACTGATAATCTGACAAATTTTATCATGGGTGTATTGATTGGACAGGAACTAAGCTTACAGTTTGGAAACACTGAACTCTGTTGGTACTTCAGATAAATTTATACATCAGATGTGATGCAACATCTAATTGGCTGCTGCGAGTATAATAGGTTAGTTGTGAAAAGTGAACGGTAGTATAGATATGGCTCAAATAATATTCCACAGACTTTCTACAGTTGACATCCAGCATTACAGTTGAAACTTGAAGCGCAAAACAAAATCACAACTTCTTAATAAGGAGATGGCAAACAAACCTTATGCAACTGTGAGAAGATTCGTTTACAGAAAGCTTTGATGAAGTGACCGCCCAGCAAGCTTCCACAGCTGGGCTTTTGCTAGAAAGAAGGCAAACTTAATTGTACCGTTCGTAACATCAGTTCAGTGAATCCTCAGTCTTGATTTCATAAACGGAGAGTAAGTCCTTTAGAAAAACATTCTTATCGAATATGCATAATCAGCGAGATTTGTTGACAACAATAAGAAGCTCAATCTGCAAAACAATCAGTTACCTATCCTATGCTCACTCTTTTATTCAGCCGCACTTGTACACATATTTTGCAATTTATAAGCCATTCGTTGAACTAAAATTGTGGTTGTCGTCCAGTTGACCCATATTAGTCAACAATCCAAAGAAAAATCACCCTCATCTTGCATGGACACTTAGAAATTCACTTGCTCCTACGGAGGCTGATGCACATGTAGCTCAATTGACATCTTATATCGAAGAGAGAGAGTTCAGGTTCATCGCTCATCCTACTTGGTCACGTACACTGATCAGTAATGGCTGTACGAGCACGTGTGGAGAGTAAGAGTATGTATTATGAGCCATGTTAGTAGATGCAGACTACTTGGTTGCGGTCCGCGTAACTATCGTAACCAGTGTTTGGAGACTCATAATGGCAGAGGTGTACACTTAAATGCAATCTTCCTTTTATATATTACCACCATTAAAGCAACTACTTCTGTGAATTTGGTGTTCATCTTGTTGTGCTAACATGGTATGGCAACTTGGACCAGTGCATATATATGCCTGATCCTACGTTGTAGCTGACTGACTGACTGATTTATTATGAAATGAAGAATTTCCACGATGTGGAAATGATTTTGTTGTTTTATCTGAATAGATCCTAACAAATGACAGACTAAAAAGAATAGAAAGTATAAAAGTCATCAAGAGAATTGTTTAATCTAATTATATTGTCATAAATATCAACAACTAACAACAATGGTATTATTTGTATAAAATTATATTTCAACTGTTCATTCAAATGTTAATGAATAATCGTTTGAATAATGACAATGATAGTTTGTCAAATCATGTCCAACTTGTGTTATTTTCTAACAATCTCAATGTCAACAAGTACATGTTTATTCCCTACATCAGTTGGCAAGTATAAAGACAGTATATTTCCCTTCATTTCAGTAGTTAAATTGTTTGGTTTTATGTTCATTGAAAATCCATTTGGATAATGTACAGATAATGGTATGTAAATTTCTGCAATTAAAATCTGTTTCTTACTATACTGATTACTCGAACGGTTTGTAATGAAGGAGAAACTAAAATTTCCGGTTTTATAATTGAATTGTTGTTTACGAAATATCCCATTTGTTGATTGAGGATAAGGACGAATGAAAGATTCCACCTATGGGTGTGGGAGAAAAAATGAGGAAAGATGAACAATGGGAAATAATACACTGGATCATACTCAGTACGAGTCATTTGAACTATTCGTGAATGTACAAATCGGTCATCACATTCATTCAGTTTCAAACCAGCATTTTATAAACTTGTTGGGTTTTATAGTAGTTACTGAACTGTCAAAACTGCAAATTCAATTAAAATGATTGTGGTGGCGCATAACTAATACACTAGTCTACGGTGAACAACTAAGTGACATATTCTGACGAATTCGGTTGAACTTATATAGCACAGCTCCTATAACGTTGGTATTTCAGTTCTCAAACATTTGATATCCTTCTCGATAAACGTCTGGCTTTATTCGAGGTGTAAACTTCTTGATTCATCATTACCATTCAACAAATTTGCTAAAAACCTCAAATTCGAACAAAAATACTATTGAACACTTAAGTTCAAAATTTTATTACCTCACTTTTAATAGGATTTCCTATTCTATCTAAAAAGTTTCCATCCCAATATGTCCATGATTCAAAATGTTTATCAGCTTCATCCAATACTGCATTACATTCCAATGTGTTTACACTACGTGGGTTTCCATCATCTCCACACAAACCGAATTCAGTTAAAAATCTACCACCTCCAGTTGTTTTTGTTGCTTTAATTGCATTGGATATCACAGTTGGTAAGAGGAACTAAATGTAATTTGAAAAGCAAATAGCAATATACATAATCAATGTTTTCAACCATACATAATGAACATTGCTCCATCCGAACAAAAAATAAGATAGTTCATTTGTTATTTAATCAAATAATGATAATTTAGAGGCGTAATTTTTTGTCAGTATGGGGTTGTGGCGATTATTAGTTTATTGATGGAGATCATGAACCTATTGATGTTAGACTACCATTGAAAACCTAGAAGCACTGGACGGCCGTTTCGTCCTATTGTGGGACTCTTCAGCAGTGTGTATTCATGATCCGGTTTGTGGGATTCGAACTCAGAGCCTTCCGTTTTGCGCGCGAACGCATAACAATGTGCTCACTAGTGACTAGCTTCATGAAGGAATTCTCGGAGTCCGTGTGAGAAGCCATGCCAGTGGAACTAATCGGTGTCGGGTAGAGACAGGTATCTACCTCAGTACAATGGAAGATGGTCGTGCAATGTCGTGGATTGGTTGAGGTTAGACATTATCACCATTGAGTGCCGGCAAGTTTAGTGGTCTAGAGGCTAAGCGTTCGCGCGCGCGAGAATGAAGACCTTGGACTGGAATCTCGCGAGAGGGATTGTGGATGCGAACTCCTGAGGACTCCCAGTGCTTCAAGGTTTTCAATGGTGGTCTAAAATCAGTCGGTTCATAATCTCAATCAAAAGCATAATTTTTATTGATATTACAGGACTAATGAATAAGTTGCTGTTTCACTAAGATGAATGAGTCAAAGTAAGAAAATAACGGTGACAAAGAAAAAATTACCTACAACTGAAATGAAAATAGTATTTCACACAACCATGAAGTATGAGAAGTGGATTGTATTGGATTCTAACCTTGAATGTCTTCTTGAATAACGTTAGACACTAATTTCTGTTTTCAAAGAAACCCATCCCCGTATATCAAAGTTCGTTTCGCAATTCAAACCTGCAGCTTGATTGTTTAAGTCTGCATTTTCTCGACGGTGGTATATGTGATCGATTTGTTATTTACGACAATGATGAAATAACTGCTTCGTGACTTTGGTCCTAAATGATTGTCCAGTTAATTTCAAATCATGGTGTTAACTATAAAATTTAAAAATCTTGACAAACACATATACTGGAGACAATCAGTCTCTGATAACATGCGTGCTTCTTTAAAGGGTGATCCGGTTTAACCTGGATTTATTCTTATCGTGCAAACCAGCTCCAGTATATACATTATTCAAAGAGGTGAAGATGCATGTATCTGATTATTTCACAACCAGAGGGGAAACCATATTTAGATTGAAATGCTAGTCAATGTCTAAGATATGGAGAACACTGTGTTACTTTTAATATCACGATCTGTTTTTAAGTGACTTCACTGAGTTCTTTCCTCTCAAATGTAACAGATAACTCGACACGAGTAAATCTCTTATTAAACTATTATAACTATCTGAGAATGGGTAGTCAACACTTGAATACATAAATCATGTAAGTGGTATAATGAATGAAAGCATCAATCAACTCCCATCCTATATGTTTAATGAATTTAGAAAATAAGTTAACTTAGTCTCATTTAAAAAGTATTGTTTGTCTATTTATGAGCGATATCAGGAGATTTATTAATAATGTTGAAAAACTAAGAGTTAAAGAAAATTTGAAATTTACCGAGTCACATATAACTTTCTTCCAAAAAGGCATTGTGGTGTTCGGATAATCACTCTGCAAGATCCAACAATAATAATGATATGACAAAACACTTTTATTCGGTGCTGATTTATCATGATTAGCTCCAGGAACACGTCGAAATCCAGTCCCTAACCATCCTGAGGGGCTTAGAGGAGTAAATATCCCATATGTAACTGGTTCATAGAATATTAATGTTGAATTGTCATATTTACGTATTCTCTCAACAAGATAATCGTAAACTGGTAGTAGATTATATCGACCAGCATAACCTGAAACCAGAAAATCCATCATACAAACATGAAAGAATAATGTTTCTCCAAATTAAACAGTATAGTACACAATCGATGATCCAAATTCGTTTCTCTCATGAATATACTATATCTTATAATCTTAGTGGTGTCTCATCGAATATCAATAGCAACCGAAATACGTTTCTGTTTTAAATGATATTCGGTTGATCTTAAGACAAAAATCACGAAGTGGTGACGATAGCCTATTAAAGAGTGCACAACTGGAATTTCGACTGTTTGCAAATGTAGGGGAAAATAAAAGTTATAAGTGTGAAGGGAATCGTTGCGGTTACACGAAGTGTCGTGAATCATATAGAATAATTCATATAGAATCATATAGAATAATTCGACAAACTATCCAAAATTCAAGCTGTCTTCAAGGTGGTATCACTAGTTCGAATTATACTTCAAGTTTCATGAAATAAACACGTTTTACATCTTAACATACCTTTACTGGTTTTAAAATTAAACTCTTTCCATGATACTAACATCATCTCAAATGAGAAGGAAAGAGTTACCGGAGAATCGATGTCATTAAGTAATATTGAAAACGTTGGAATTTACTCTTCATTGTGTATTCAGTTGATATGACAATGTCAAGTTATTAAATGTCTGAAAGATTTAAAATCATTTATTCATTATAATTAGTTCCCTGTCATCATGATAACTAACAATTATAGAGATGACTGTTTTTCAGATGATCGGGAAATTGGGGATTACTGAATTGAGCATGGATCAATTTGTATCGTTGAACTCGATGAACTCGAATAAGTGTATTTATGCATTTGGAAATTCTGAAATAGTAACTAACCGACTGAATGAATATAGGTTCAATCATCATCCACATCGAGTTGAGGACGTTTAAGGTCATATCATAAATCATTTGAAAGATTTTAAGTGGAGATTCTAGGTATTTTACTATATTTAGTTCATAATAAATTACTAATTATCACTTGATATCAGAAGTGATGGTCCAAATGCAATTCATTTTGTTGCACTTAACCGGAAATCACTTTGACACATATATTAGAAGTCAACAAAATTACACCTCATGATCTCAACTATTGAAATTACTACAATCTCCACGAAACCCCTTCTGATACTAATCAACACATGCTCACTAGTGACTGGCTTCAAGAGGTAGTTCCAGTGAAAAGCAGTGACTAGTGGAGTTCAAGCAGGTCTGTTATGAGATAGTGACTCACAGACGAGAATAGTGAATGTGTCGCTCAATTTCGTGGATTAGTTGAAGCTAGACATTAACTTCACCGGATGCCACCACAGTGGTCTAATGGTCAAGTATTAAGTTTGAATCCCGTGAGGCGTGATCGTAGATGTGCACTGCTGAGGAGTCCAGGTTTTCCATGGTGGTCTAGCTTCAATTGACTCGTGATATCAACTATTAAAATTACTACAATCTCCACAAAACCCCTTCTGATACAAATCTATCTACCTGAAATCTCAAAGTAGTGTTAACGTTTCGCACAAGATAAATTTAGTAAATACAACTTTACCTGAAAACCCACGTAATGGATTAGAATAAAAGTTTCCAGGTGGAGGTTCATTAATCAAATCATAACCAAGTACATTTGACTTTCTACCAAATTGTTTAGCTACGATTTCCCAAAAATCACCCCAGTGATTCCAAGCACCTGATACATTCTCATATAACTGCTGAGCTGCATTAGTACACTCATAAGTCAAATAATATGCCCCATCCCATTTCGGCAACTTTTTATACGGCCAAGGCTCTTGTAAAAAGTATGGTGGTCTTTTAAATTGATCAATTAACCAAAGTGGTATACCATCATAAGTACCATATCGCCTCGATAATCCATCTTGATGCATATCTAATATCACATAAATTCCATGATCAGCATATAAATCAATCAGTTTTTCAATTTGATTTAAATATGTAGTGTTCACTATTGATATATTTGGCATTACTCCACTCCACATGATACCTAATCGAACAACATTCAAACCCCAATTCTGGAACATTTGTATTTGTGTGATATTGAAGGCATTTTGTTCATACCATGGAAAAGATTTTCTCACGTTGTTAAACCCTCTAAATAATCTAATGAACCCACGATGATCTGTGAACATTCCATGTTGATTCAGATGAATTTTACTGAGAGGAATATGTTCTGTACAAACTGATGACCAGAAGAATATAAAAAAAATTGTAAACCACATAGAAAAATCAATGTTTGTAGTCTCAGTTTCGAGATATACTACTGTGATAAATACTAGTGATATATATATATATATATATATATATATATATATATATATATATATATATATATGATAACCTACACACACTCTGATCGTACTATTTGTGTGATTATAGACTGAACGATTAAGGGTGATCACGCCAAATTGATAACCTTGTATAATAATATAGTTTAGTAATTTGATACGAGATATGCTAGATATATCAAAGCTTGAAGTTCATTTGACGATCAATGAATATGCCATTAGCTATATGTGTAATTCATTCTTTTATTTGATCAATAAATATTTACAATCAGTAATATACTGTATATTAGTAATGTCAGGACACATTAAGTAAAGCAAAGTTGTCTCTATGTTAGGTCATTCAAAACTACTCATTATTGTTGCTATGTTACATCAGTAGTAGACAGAATTTAGTGAACAATCAACGTGACATTTAAATGTCGATTGTAGTAGCTCTTCTAGAATTACTGCCGGTTTCAAGCTAGGCTAAAGGAAGAGGGTTGGATATGGGGTTAGTGACCCCATCCCGTAGAGAACCAACTCGCTAAAATAACGCTAACCAGAAAAAAGAATTTTAAACAAGTGTAGTTTTCAGTGAAACTAAGGACATGTTTCGTCCTATTTGATATTAGTTAGCTTAATGTATACATTATTTATAGTTTAACATACTTCCCACCCCGTCTTAATATCTTTCAAGTGATTAATGACATAACCCTAAAGGTCTGTAGTCCAATGCATATTACCCATGTAGTTCATTTGTGATAACCTCGAAAATGAAAATCAATGTATTGTTTTTCAGTCAGTGAAAAATATAAACTGATAATAATACATGCAAATATCGTTTATTTATGAGGTGTGATCTTAAAACTTTAGTCTGAGTAACAAAATTTATGAATAACACATTAAGATCGACATTAGTGAAAGTTAAGGACAAATTAGCAAAGGAAGAACAACAGAACATTGTGTATAAGATTCGCTGTCATGACTGTAATGCTACCTATGTTGGAGAAACATCCAGGCAACTGAATGTAAGATTGAAGTAACACAAACAATGCTTAAAAATTTTCCAAAATCCTCGGTCGATTTAAAGAAACTTGAAAATAAGTCAGCGATAGCGTTACATGCGTTAGAAACAGGGCACAAGATTAATTTCCAAGGGACCAAAATACTTCAGAAACACTCATAAAGAAAGATTGACAGCAGAAGCGCTGCATATATGGGCGAACAAGAACAGCCTGAACCGAAAAGATGGTATTCAACTGGCAACTACATGGCAAATTTCGTTTGACAAGTAAATTTGAAACCTATCTCTTGTTTAAACCTGTTTTTTAATATCACATGCATCGTTATTATTTTTGGAATGAATTCAATGAGTTTTTTAAACAATACAATTTATGTCATTATATGTGAAAATTATATTTGAAATATTCTCAGCGATTGAAATTTAACTAATTCCAACGTTTCGTCCAGCTAACTTGTCTGGACTTCTTTATGTTTTGACATGTACATCGATGTTTCATTCTCAAAAAATTTTTCCACCTTGAACTTGAACTTTATTTATTTATTTACACCTTCATCATATCAATCTCTTACACATACATACATACCTGCACACTCACACACATACGATTTGTTACTCAGTTAATTATTTCTATGTAGCTGAATTCTTCATATGATTTGTAGTTAACTGACTCATTTGATCCTATTTTACAAAACATCAACATCCAAATACTATTGGTTTAACACAATATAATCCTGATTGTTAAAAGCTATATATGTCTTTGATAATTTTGATTTTGATTATTACCCTGAAGAAGTCCAGACAAGTTAGCTGGACGAAACGTTGGAATTAGTTACATTTCAATCGCTGAGAATATTTCAAATATAATTTTCACATATAATGACTTCTCTATACTCGGCGCTCAATTACTGTCAAACTATTCGTTCTAATCTTGACGAATATTCGTATAAAATTTATGAAAGTTTGTTGTGCATGATTAGATCTGTATTCCACTGGTTGAAATCATGAGTCAATTGAAGCTAGACCACCACGGAAATCGTGGAAGCACCGGACGGTTGTTTCGTCCTAGTATGGGACTCTTCAGCAGTGAGCATCCACAATCCCACCCTCCGCGAGATTCTGTATTCATTTAGTCGGTTAGTTACTATTTCAGAATTTTCAATTGCATATATCCAATTAATCGACTTCAATGATACCAAGTGATCCATACTCAATTCAGTAATTCCCAATTTTTTGATCACCTCAAAATCTGTCAACACTAAAATGGCAAGACTACAATTTATGGACGAACCAATCAGGTATAAGATAACAGGTCTCGGATTTTGGAGTCAAATTCACTCAACGATTTTTCGCTTAAATAGAGTTTTGGCATTATTTAAGAAAGATTAGTTCAGCAAAGAGTTATCTTTTCAGGGAATTCATTTTGAAAGATGTACAATCGTGAATACATATACTTATTTTAACAGGATGATAATAATACTGATAATAAACTTGTGTTAGGGATGTTGACAGTGAGGTTAAATAAACAAAGTTATTAAAAAATTCTTTAAAAAACAAGGAAAGTTCAATAATCGTTTGACTGTTAATGGCTTAAGTATTCATCAAAGGATAGATAGGGAAATTATCAATGGGAAAGGATAGCTCAGCATGATGAGATAAATGTTGAAATTGAGGTGAAATGTTATGAGGATGATCGTGGAAACAAAATGAACCAGTTTGGGGTAGAAAATTTAAGAGGGAGATGGAGGGTGAAGCAGAAGACTGTAAAGGAAGAAGAGTATGAAGAAAGAAGGAAGAAGAAAGGAAGGCTTTATGTTCTTATCAATGAAAAAGAAACTTAATAATAACACTCGCAACAAGAATATGACGAATCTGTAGTCACGAATTCATAGATGAAGAATTGGGCTACTTGAAGGAGATACTGAATAAAAACGGATATCCTTCGATATTCATTGATAAGATCATGAAGCCGAAAGCACCGGAAACACAGATAACTACAGTAGTAAAGAAAACTTTATGCATGGGCATCGAATTCAAGGGTGACTGAGCCACACACACCCTAAAATAGAGAGTTTCCGATTCTTTAAAAAGAACATTCCCCGCAACAACATTACAAATTCTTCAACAATAATCTTAAAGAGGAATTATCGCAGCTGACCAATTCATTGTGGGAGGTAGAAAACCTGGTTTATCGATAGCGAAATATATAATTGAGACGGGGCACAAAATTAACATTAATACAGCATTTAGAATGTTGTATAGAAATTGTCATGGACGAATTCTTAAGTTTATTGAAGCCTTGGCTATTCGTAAATTTAAATCCCCCTTATGTGTACAAAAACAATTTGTCGTAACCTTGCATTTACCTTGGTAATCCATAAGTCATTCTATGGCCTAGGATAACGCGACAATTTCGTATTCTTTCTCTCCTCTTTGTTACTTTTTTACTTGAATTTCCATTTAATTGACCTTCATTAATTTTCATACAAAAATGCACTGACAAGTATATGTGTGACCAAATTGTTCGAAATGTATAGTGCAATTACATCACATTTTTCAGATAAACTATCTATCGAGGTCCTTATATTATCGAAAACATAATACATGTACCACTTCAAAGGCATACACAGAGTGTACATCATTCAAATGCCTTTAATTGCACATGTGATTTCATAAATGTTTAAACCCCTTTTCATTTTATAGTTAAGATCAAACATATCGAGTTGAATAATCCTCAAAAATTTCTAGCCAATATGAGTTTATATAACTTCGCACAAATTGGTCAAAATAACATAACCAAATATTCAGGATGTTATCAAATCTCTCCAAGATGTCTAGATGTTGAAAGGTCCAAGGCAAACATAAACAATAAAAGCGAATCTTCTGGTTGACCTCGAATATAAGTTGGAAGTCAGTAAACATGTTTATTGTTTAAACGGTCTACATATAACTAGCGTGTGTCCTAATGAGATGACTTTCAGTAAGTGAGTCGAGAGCGAGAATGGTAAGTGTTCAGTGCTTCTAACCGAAGGTATCAATGTTCGATGTTTTACCATAGAGGGTGTTGCTGAATGTGATTGCCATCACTAATTAGATCATCCGGTAAAAAACAGTTCGTCTCCTCAATTGAACAAATATTCTCTGAATTTTTATTATAAATCTTAGTTCGTGCTCCGAATTATTCTTCGGAGCAGCAAACAAACGCATCTAGATTTCCTCCAGAGACCATAAGTATTCAAAAACTGAAAATTATTTTAAGTGAGAATTAAACAGAAAGTTTGCTAGTTAGTTTCCATTAAACCATCGCTTGAAATGAGCCCTGAACGCTCACAAGTGACTGATAAAACACACGTTACAACCAAGTGGAAAGTAAAAGTTGGTTACTCATCACATGTATCACAAATCCATAAAATCTTCTCTCATAGTCGTGTCGTAATCGAATATAACGTAGTGGAAAACATAGTCTGGCATTTAACAACACTCATACAACACAAGTAAGTCAAAATAAAATTGCACATTGTTTCATTTACACATAGTTGAATTTGTCTTGGTAAATTGATGGTCTGCATTACCATAGATGTGATATCGTTACAAACACATCAGATGAGCAGGTAGTGGTGGAAATTTTTTCACAAATTTCACAGAGTACGCGTTGACGAATGAAGGACTCATTTCAGTCATCAGCATTATCAATCCATCCACACATCTATCTATCTATCCATCTATCTATTAATCAGCAAGTATATGGTCAGTTTATCAAAGTTCAAATAACTTCACTCAGTGTTTGTTCTCATCAATCTTACGAAATAAAACATTTTCATATCCAACTAAACTAGTCTCAACTGATCTCGACCTTTGATAGCGATCATAATAACACCATTCTTCCAAAATGTTTCTTGTGAATACAATTTTTAGTTTATTATATCTACCTTTG